TATGACATCACGATAACGTCATAAATGTTTCTGTGGCCTTTCTCTAAGCACTTACGACCGAAAAAATGAACGGTGCACTGAAAAGAAAGTCTAGTTATAGCTACCAAATATTGAGTGAAATAGTTTCAACTAAATGTTGAGGTAATATAACTAAACATAAGTTTACCTCTACAAATATTTAGTAAATATTACTAAACAATATTACCAACGGTAATACTTATTAAATATTTGTAGAGGTAAACTTATGTTTAGTTATATTACCTCAACATTTAGTTGAAACTATTTCACTCAATATTTGGTAGCTATCACTAGACTTTTTTTTCAGTGTGTAAGCGATGCTTATTAGAGCTTATTAAGCTTAAAAAGTAAACGCACCCAAAAGCTGTACAATCTGTACTTACGAAATAATAGTCCACAGACTAATAGTTTGCATGAAGAAACAACGTAGAGTTCTTAAAATTGGACTTAAACGTCTAATTAGTCTAATTAAAACGATATTGTTATACGAAAATTTATGTGCATATGTATGTGGGAGATATTGATGTAGTAGTATGTAGTGATGTGTCAATGATACGTAAATCGTCTGTGTGTGTTATTTACAATATGACTAATCGTCTTTAAGATCCCCTTAATATTTAATACCTCATTGGTGATGTAAGTAATACCGATAACCAACTGAGCTTACTTTGTCTATATGTTTGATACGTGCACATATATGACCCAGGCTAGCTACTGTAGGTATAAATTCTGACATCACATCGATTATAAAATCCGTGGTGATGTTAGTTGTACTAAAGGTCAACAGCTGTTAAAACATATGTTATAAATCTTTGATAAGAACAGAAGATAAACGTTCTCAAAAGATATATATTTGATTAACATTTGAAGTAGAATTATACGATTTATTATTTAATTTTATATTTTATATAAACGTATAGAAAGACATCTGCATTTCATTTTATTTAGGATCATTTTTAAACGAATATAATTTCAATTGTTAATTAATATACATATGGTTTAAATAGAAATAATACCCACATAACACAGTTCCCTGAAGCACTCTGGAAACATAGAACATTCTCTGGAGATCCATTAAATAACTGTGTTATGAGGGGCTAATATTGGAATTATAACATTGCTTTAATTATCTAGTTCCTAAATTCTAACATTTAATCGAAAAAATTTCTTCTAAATTATTTAATAAGAGAAAATTGTTTTCTAATATCACATGATTATACCTGAAAAGTTGAAGCCGACAGTAATGTAATAATAGTACTAGCTCTCATTAAATGAGCACTCCACTTGCTTTGAAAGGGCCATAGTCCAAAAAACGATAGGACAAGTTGATTTATTTTGTAGTAATGCTCGGGATATTCCATTTGCTTTGAAAGTCTCCAACAAATCATAGGAGCAAGAGCTTGTTGATTATTATTTTATTGCTATATTTATCTATATATTTTTCTTAAAGTTTATTCTATTTTTTTATTTCTGATTTTTTAATTTTCATTATCGAATAAATTGCAATGTTTTAAGTAATACATGTTTCGTTACTTTGAATCAAGAATCGATCCAACAACACTTGACGAATATAATCGTTCATATTTAAATTTGAATATTGTTTATTACTCAAGTTATTGCATAAAATGTAAATGGCAAACCATTTCTCCTCTAATAAACATCTGTCTATTTCTGTATATTTACTTACAACGTTTGCCGGAAATTCTTCTTTTGGAATACTTGTAATTAAATAAAATACTTGTATTTTCAAAACAGTTTACCGTTAAAATTGAAAATTGTTTCTAATGTAACTTGATGGCTTAATCGTCTTTCGTCATCAACTGTGCGAAATGGACTACTCGAATAATCTGCTTTACCTCGAACTTTTTTCATTCATCGTTCGTTTCCTTTGCCTCTAAATAATAGAAAAATAATTGCGGTACCGTCACGGTGGAATAATCACATATGCGAGAGGAACTAACACGGCAGATGGAAAATTGCCTGAAGACAATTTTTGTTCGCAAACCACCGGTTATTTCCCACATTATTACCGAACATTGTATGCACGCTGCAGATCGATCCCCTCGACGCTTTTGAAAAATTCGTACCTCTGTGCTAAATGCATGCATTTTTCTTTTATGTGATTCACCCGGTAGTAAAATTTAAAAAAAATAGAGATGAAAAAACATTGTACGCGTGCTGTCGATCGATCCCCTCGACGCTACTAAAAAATTCGTGCTTCCGTGTGCTAAACGCATGCATTTTTCTTCTATATAATTCACCATTAACAAAAATTAAAAAAATTAGAGATGAAAGAATCGTGGAGACCCTATGAACACATTTTCTTCAGGTCTACGCAATTTTTCCATCTCTAATTTTTTTCAATTTTGTTATCGGGTGAATTACATCGAAGAAAAATGCATGTGTTTAGCGCGGAGACGCGAATTTTTCAAAAGCGTTGAGAGTATCTATCGGCAGTGTATAATATTCGGGTAATAACGTGGAAAATAACCGATGGTCTGAGAATAAAAATTGTTTTCAGACAGTTTTCCATCTACCGTGATAGATTTTCTTGTACGCATGGCGATTATTTCGCTGCAGCGATACCGCAATTATTTTCCTGTTATTTAGAGGCAAAAGGAATAAACGATGAGTGAAAAAATTCCGAGATAAAACACAATATTCGAGACGTTTTTTTCATACAGTACGTAACAAACTACGATCAAACCACTGAGTTATACCAGAAACAAAGGAGCTCGTACTATATAGTATATGAAATTGGGTCACGATGAAATCAAATGGTTTTCTCATATGTCATAGTTTATGACCTGCTAAACAAAACATATAAGTTTTACTACTTTTAGAACAAAAAAATGAACAGTTTTCGTGTTTGATTCGCCTACAGTCGCTGACATCTCACCATAAAATGTTCAATAACTTCGAAACGCTGATTTAAAATGGATAAAATTATAGTGCTTTGAAAAGGTCTCAACAAAATCGGTAAGAAAATGAAAGAAAAAGTGCGGGGTCTCGCTTAAAAAATCCGAGTTGACTTTGTCTTGCCTTGGCAACGCCACCCAAAGTCAAATTGATAAAGCCAGTGGCTAGGCTTTTTTACATTCTACAACTTTTATCTAAAACATTTTTTTTTATAAAACTTATAGTTTTCCAGATATTTTGCCATCTCGGAACATTTCATATTCCTTATATGATTATATAAGGTGCCACATATAATTATATATTATCACATATGTAATGCCCAAGATATGTACTCATGTATAAAACGATACTTTTACAGAATATGTAGTGTAATTCCCTACCCTTAGCGTAATCCAGGATATGGACGTAATAAGGGCCTGGTTCCATGTGTGTGTGCGCCCGCGTGTGTGTATATGTGTGAATGAGTGGGGATCAGGATCCGGCGGTTCGTCACTCTTGCCCTATTTATTGAAGTAAAAAACCCGTAAATAGTACAGGTAATAATAACATGAAATAATAGATATTTTAAGCTGTCGGAAACCATGTATCGTGACATACCCGGTTTACGATAGATATAATTAAGGTATTATTTCACGTTTCTGTCGTCTGTACACACACACTCTCGCACTCACACACGCACGCACGCACGCACGCACGCACGCACGCATACACGGGACCAGACCCTTACCACATCCATGTCGTTGATCCTGGATTACGCTAACAATAGGGAATTACATTACATATTCTGTAATAAAGTATCATTTTATACATTAGTACATATCTTGGATATTATACAAGGTGTTTCAGAAATAAGGTCGGAGCCGCATTGGGGGCGTAGAATGGATCAAGGGGAACAAAAAAGTCTTATACCATTTTGAGATATTCGCTGTAGTTTTCGAATTAAAAAAGGAAACTTCTAAGGCAATGTGTGGTGAAGCCGTGCCTATATTGACTTTTTGTTGATTTGTGTGTCTTCCTTAGGAGGTGTACATTGTAGAGTGCAAAATTATATCATTAACATTATGTTACTATTAGTTTGTGTCGATTGGGTGGTTTCAGTGCCTGTGTTCTGAATGGGTCCATGAACATTGTAGTGGAGCTGATGATTCTGAAAATTACATATGCGATTTTTGTTTAAATTAATTTGTTTAAAGTTTATATTAATTTTGTATTAACATTGATATAATAATATATTGTTTCATTCCTTATCAACATTCCATGAAATATTATAAATTTTATTTTTTCAAGAAATTTTATATTTATTTCTTATACCATTTTGGCTTTACGCACAATTATCCAATCCATGCGCACAATTACCCGACGCGCAAAAATTTTTTCGCTTTTACTTTTTTTACTTTTGCCAGATACATTATCCGATTATCGAATGAAAAATTGTTCAATACAAGAATGCATATTGTTAGAAGAACGTTTATACTTTGTATTTCAGTGTTTATATTCACGTGTATCCTCTTAGAATCCAGCCCCTCGGTTACATTTTTTGAAAAAAATGCATGTTTTTAACGCAATGACATGAATTTTAGAAAAGTGTTGAGGATCAATCGATAATGTATATACAATGTTCCAGTAATAATGTGGACAGATATTTATTATTATTATACAGACATTTATGTAGATAAAATATAAGAAATTGAATTTTATTATAATTTTTTATTGCATAATATAAATTAACATAAAATTATCAGCGGATCCCTTACCAAAATTGTGGAGTCATTAAAAGAATTGAAATATATGGTCTTAAATATTCCAACAAATATTCCGTTATTCTAAAAAGGATTTACTTGCTTCTATTAGTTGTTATATTTTATTTATTATGTACTCATATTTACTCTGTATATATTTACCTGTAAGTCTCATCAGCAGATTTGTTTTCATAAAGAAAAATTTTCGATATGATCGTAAAAAAAAAGTTAGTAAGTGTTTCCAAAATTTCCGTGAATTTTCTACGTTACTTCTACGCTAACATCTTGATATAGAAACATTTTTAGAGTTGTCTCATGAACATGCAATAGGAGACCGCCGTTTGAAGTATCTTAGAAGATAAACATTCTTTATACCCTTTATGATTTTTACATATCGATTTATATTAGTATATTTTTCTTTACCATTCCGAAATTCTGCAAAGACATGACGTAAAACCTGCAGGCAGTCAGGACAAACGGACGGAAACGTCGTTTCATTATTAACAATAATGGTTTTTGCTGTGAAACATTTGCATTATACCACGTAGAATTATACCTGTAAAAAGTTAACATAAAAAATATTAAAATATCTTTCACCTTTTTTTAATATTAAAATGTTAATATATTTTTATAATTTTAATATTTTTTAAATATTAAAATAAGTCCCAAGTTCGAACCCCGACTGAGGTAGGGGAGACTGGGGGCATTTGCAACGGAGATAAGTTGTAATAATGGGTCTTTCTTTTAAATAATAAGAGATAAGATGATCGTATGAAGAACAAAAATAATCGGTAACGAGGCCTGCATCTGCCTTACGCCATCAATCGCGCCGCATGTTAAAAAAGTTATATGTACTGTGCTCAGACGAGAAATGAGTGATACAGAAAAAAATCTTGATATATCGTATCGCAACGTATAGTGAGCAGAAATATTGATACAACGAAATATCGGCTGTCTAATTTACGATATTGCTGATATCGATACGGATCCGATATTTCTATTTTTAGTCTTTTTAGGCGGTGCGTATATCGACATACGTATCGATACACAAAAAACCGATTTTTTTCAAAAATAACGATATACGTATACACCTACATATTTTATTTTTATTATATCTACTTGTAGATATTTTAGATGTATATAAATAATAAGATATAGTTACGTACATATAAAATATTTTATCTTAGAATTAAATATTATTAAACAATTAACGTTATAATATAGTACGTAAGTATAATGATGGAGTAAGAGAGTTTATCGAAAAGTTAACTTTTAAAGACTATTAACATTGTTTTAACAATTTTTTCTAATATATTGAATGTTATATTTAAAGAAAATTAGCATATATAACTTTAGAATTATATATCATATATATTTTTACTTATGTCTTTGTAAATATGTTTAGTGATACTTTTACAATCATTTTTATGCTTTTATCACTATTTTTATAATTATGTAATGTATATTTTCGGGTAAATATAAAACATTGTACGGAGAAATAGGGAGAGCGAGATTTTTTCTCTTTTACTTTGACTTTCTCTTTCTGTTCTTATTTTACGAGGGTCGTTTGAAAAGTTTTGAACCTTAATATAAAGATGGCATTACTTGTCAAAACCATTCTAATATTACAATCGTACATATTTTGCAATACCTGTGAAAATTGTAGCCATTGTAGACACTCAGATGTTGTTTAACTGTCATTTGTGCCAGTCGATATTAGTATTTTTGTAAAAATATAAAAAATCGAATATCGACGATCGTCAATATAAAAATTTACAAATTGCGGTTCGAATTAATTGACTATTATCATATTCATCAGATCTGATCCCCAACAATTTTTTCCTATTTCCGAGGCTTAAAGTTAGGTTCGGAGGATACAGATTTTCATCAAACGAAAACACTGACATCGACTGGCACAAATGATTCTTAAACAACAGCTGAGCGTCCGAAATGGGGGGGGGGGCTACAATTTTCACAGGTATCTTGCAAAACAGGTACGATTGTAGTATCAGAATGGTTTTAACGAGTAATACCATCTTCAAGTTGATGCTCAAAACTTTTCAAGTGGCCCTCGTACATCGATATTTTCATAGCGCTTCAGATGTATTTGTTATTAAAAAGAAAGTACATTACTTACACCTTTTCGCATACGTTCAAGCTCATGTCCGTGATTTTTTGTGCCATATAATTAGATATGAATAGATATAGCATTGCTACCGCAACGTAACTGATACATCTGAAAGCTTGATCAATATCGCCAATGGTAAGTACCTGAAAGATTTTGTTTTTGCATTTTGATACGCTCGACGTGTTTCTGCTGTCAACATACCTGCGTTAATAGAAAACTTAACACGAGAATTAATTGTATGATGTCCATTAGAAACGGTACTGTGTGATAAATTTCGATCGTACCAATGAATCTTGTAACATAAAACAAAGTTATATATGTTAATGAAAACTATTACATGAAGGATAAAATATTCCTTGCACATAAAAATATATAAAAATATTTATGTAACATTAACATATATTTTTATGAATAATTTGTAATTTTTATAATATATTAACTGATGCTTGACTTTTTAAGCAGAAAATCGTTTTAAATGGTAAAGAAATAATAGTTTAAAAATATTAAAATAACAATCAAAAGTATCTATTAAAATATATTATTTAAGTTAATATTGACAATAAATTTTTTATAAATTGTAATCATATAAAAACAAGATTAAGTAAAAACAATAAGTTACTCATTACTTTTCGGCTTTGTGTGTTACATGTTACACAGTTGGAAAATTTGTGTTAAATTTAATACATTTTACGTGATCTCAAATGGTCTACTCAAATTTTTGTGTTAATTTAACACAAAATAATATTACGAAGTAACACAAATGTTATGAAAAAATTAACACGAAACACGTAACACTGATACAGTTTGTAATCAATCATATTTGTTAAAATTAACATTTCTTCATATTTTTTTATTAAAATTAACGTATTTATTAAAATTAATAAACATGTTAAGTTATTTTAATTATTTATCTTAGAAATTACCTTTCAAAGAACATATTTTTATATTATTTTTTCACTTATAAATCGTGTTATTTAAATAATAAGAATTATTGAATATCAATTTAACATAAGATATTTAAATAATACAATCACATTGTGTTAAATTAACACTTGGATATGTAAATATTCAACACAAAAATTTAACAAGGACTTGAATGAACAGTTGAGAAAAACAAATGCAAAATATTTTTTACTATGTGTAGCCATAATATTTTTTTGCAGAATGTTCAATTAGACTAAACAGATTTACAAATTTCGCATGCCTTGTATAAAGATACAAACTCTATAAGGTTGTAATGCATCTCCATAAAAGTGGCCATGTTTTCATAATTTATTTTTGACCGTATTAAATCGTATTGTGTTGTATCTTTATTACGTTCATCATCGTAAAATAAGCATTCCGCACGATACCTGTCAAAATTATCTCCAATATTATTCTTACAATTGACTTTGAATGATGTTCATTTTATAATAAGCAGAAGAAAAGACGAAATCATCGATTATTTTCTGGCGGAAAAAAAATGTTTATGAAAAGGTACAGAAAATGTATAATAGATTGAACTACAAATCTCTTAAGAAAAATTTTTAATTTTTCATAGAATGGGACATAGAGTGGCGTTGTTTGAAGGCGGAAGATTTCTTAGTTTTTCAAACAAACAACAACAACGCCATTCTATGTCACATCCCAGATAGCCAAGCGTGATATAGCATATTGTGCAAACTATGCATTGCATATGTTGTTATATATTTGTTGTACATTTGCTGACATCAAAACTATGCCTGCTTATATATGTAATCAGTTGTCGAAATTTCTATAGCAAACTGTAAGCAATGGTAGTACATTATGTTGTCGGTAACATAACAGCAACATGTTAGCAACGAATAAATGATCGTTTCATCTTGACTGTCATGATGAAAACATGACAGCAACAGCATATCTATCATGGAACATGGAATGAATTCTGACCGGAATTATTTCGTTTTTTCCAAAAAACGCAATAGAAATCTAGGGAATAATTGAATAATTCTGATCGGGATCCATTTCGACTTGTTCCATGATAGGTGTCCTGAACATACATAATGATTTCCATGCGTTGTTGCAAATATGTCTTCAAGAAAGTTTTTTAATTGCAGTTCGTTGCTAACAAAATGCTGACAATATGACAACACGAGTTGTTGTCGACGATATTCATGCTAACATGTCGCTATCAGTTTGCCATCGCAAGAATTCGAATTCCATGGAGTTCAACGCAACAGATATAATGCTGTTTCACCTTGTCCTGAGTTTGTCGAAATTGGTTGCTACAACGTTTTCGGCAACGTATCATTAAATACACTGCATTTAGCTGTCTGGGACTATGAATATCTGTGAAAAACTAGTTTCTAAGATTGTCTCAATCTATGTAAGTTTTAGTAAAAATTTTTTTGCCAGGGCTTAACGGAAAAAACAAAAAGAATAATATTCAAACATTTTTTAACATGAAACAATTTTTTTTAATATGAAAAAAGAAATATTTTTGGTGTCTTTTAAAAAAAAATATATATATATTTATCATATGTGAATCTGTATCCAGATTCAAAAATTAATAGACCTGCTGCGCGTTCTACATTGTAGCGATGAGTCGTCTGCTCTTTCGTAAATAATTTCGTGAAACAGTTTCTTACCCCAGCAGCTCGCACATTCCGCAAGCGTGTTGCGTAAGAATCACACACAGAACGGAATTGGCATAAAAAATCATTAAAGGTGTAATGACAAAAATAAATACATAAAAGTTAATAAGGGTAGGATACTGTTCCTCAATGGTAAAGAACTCCAATTGAAAAGATTGTATTTTCGGGCGAGATTCATTCATGGGCAATATAACGTCGAGGATATAGGGCAGGAACATCTGTAGGTTGCATACTATCATGACTATGTTGAAAACTGAAAAATTTGATAATTGTAAATTTCTCAATTCAATCTTCATTAATAGTTTACATTAAGAAATTATAAATTGAATACTCTAATGGCTTGGTCACATTTTTACTTGTTTAAGATCTTCAAGATCACAATATATTCAATATTCAAAAAAGGATTTAGAGTTTTTAGTATTATTTCTGTCATTATATTTTACTGCAAGCTCTCAAAAAATTTATTTAATAAAAATATATTAATACATGATATGAAGAAAACTTTGCAAGAAATTTAGGAAGAAAAGTATAGTAAATGTGAGCAATGAATCCAATCATTCTTTGAAAATTCCATATTCATTTAATTTGACAGCGATTATAACAAACGCAA